TCTTAGGGTCTAGTATTTGTCGAATAATCTGTAAGAGTATCGGGTTTCTTTGTGTACATCTTCCGTGATTAAACTTGGTTTTCGTGTTACAACTTTGATTTAACTTGATGTGATGAAGTTGGATAGCATAATTTCTTCACAACAATAAGAAATGTAATTATGCATTGTAACTTCGCCTGAGTGTGGGGTGGAGACTGATAGTATAAGGGGTCCTATGCAGGTTGTCAACGACAAGCAAGAATGGCACCTGACACAGTTCAGATATGAACCCCTTTTATGATGCTTATATCATTAAAGAGAACGTATACAATGATCTGAGAAAAGCATTATTGAAGACTCAATTACATACCAGAAGCAGGACAAACTAGGAAATTAAGAGACAGAAAAAAAAGGGGGAAAAACAGAGGACTAGTTTACACTTACAAGTATACAATTTTAACAGTTTTCAGGACAGAAGAGAAGCTTACACTGCAAAACCAGTTCAAGCTCTGAAATGTTGGCATCCATTGGATTTATTATACGGGTTAACTTAAATCGCAACTGTAGGTGCTTGAAATGTAATCTTGGGGTGTTGATGGTCGCCTTCATATGTAACAACCAACATGGTAGGATCTTCAAAGCATCGCTCGACATGCTTTCTTGCAGGGCATCCCCTCACACTGCTGCATTTGTAATAACTCCTTTGAAGGCAAAGCACCATGGACAGACTTATCAGCTAAGCTTGGAAACGGCTAAGCATATATATAACATTCAAGAAGGGCACATATAAAGCTCATGGCCATCATCTAATATATTGTTGTTGCAAATTCTATATCCAAGGACAATGTCAGAGTAATAATCTATAAGAAGCATATCAAACTAAGGGAAGTGATTTTGTTGAAATAATTCATTCATTTTCCTCTGTTCTTCCAGCCAAGTAAGGACTCATTCATTTTATGGAATTATGGACTAACTTTCATCTCTGCCATAAGCTTGGATTGTTTGTGTATGATGAATAAGCCAAAATATATGAAACAGAAGAGAAGATATACATATTAAACAATCTAGACCTTAAGATTTGAAATCATTATGGAATGGCAAAAATAAAATAGCATAGACATACCTAGGATATGGAGACCCTTTAATAGGTTTCTGCCCATACTTCCTCCAGGTATAGTCATCAGGAGGTATATCAGCTAGCTTATTGCTTAAAGCCGGAACTCGGATTCTTCTCTTTATTCTAAGTTTCCTGTTAGGAGATGAACAAATACAAGAAATTAAAAACCGTTAGCAGGACACAAGAAGATAGAAAATCAGAAATCCAATCATAAATATTGTGTAAACCAACAAAATGTAGTGACATAAAGGACTGCATTTTAATCAGGATTTCAATACCTTCGCTTGGAGCAATGGCATCCACCAGCAGAGACTAGGCATCTTGGAGTGGCTTCTTCACTTTTCACCTGACACTTCCTTTTGGAAGAAAACATAGAGGTACAATCTCTAGAAGCCAAGAGTTCAGACGACGAATAGTGTATCATCCGCGTGTTAAGGCTACTTCCATCCATACTGATCAAAGAAGTGCTAGTAGGCTTTTGTGAGAATTGGTTCAACCCCATGATTAAATTATTAGGAAGAACCACACCGGCTTCAGATTGCCCTTGCTGCAATGCCGGTTTCGGTTTTTTCTCTCTACCCATGCTAAAGCTATTACTGTGGATCACATTTGCAGTTGCTTGATCACTTTGATGAACAGCACTAAAAAACTGTCTAACCAAGCAATTCTGAGGCTGGGGCTGGGGATGAGGCTGAGGCCAATTGTGTGTAGTATTTTGGGGTGAAGGGTTAGGAGAGTCCAACAGTTCAACCTGGTTTATGTCATGGGATTTTGGCAAAGGACCTCTCCTGATCCTCTTCTGGTT